AAAAAGGGATCAAGTCAAATACCAATTGAGCACCCTAAGGTACAACATAGATACACATAAGATCCATACAAGCATACTATGTTCATATAACTATTCACACAGAAATGCATGAGCTTTTTCAACACTTTCTGTATTTTTAAAACCAGGGTTCACACACTTCTCCAGGACCGTTACCTAATTTTCCATGACCAAAACAATGACTCTTTCTCAGCGGTACCACTGAAAATGTTTTATTTTAACATGGAACAGGAAAATAAGGTCTGCATCTGAAACATGTTTTGCCTCTAAAACAAATCCAATACGCTTACTAGCTTCTACGCGCTAAAGCAACTCAAATCTCTCACCAGCAAAACACCTCGTCAGTTAAATGCCATTTTACGTTTCATGACTACACAGTATTTATTATCATTATAGTATTACTATTTTGGCGGTTAGACAAAATATTAATTATATTTGATGCAACTTTAGTTACTTTTCCAAAACTTTGGAGTGGCCTGGAATTAGCATTTTGAATTTCCATGACTTTTCCAGGTTTTTAATGACCGTAAGAACCCTGGAAAATGTATTAATGACTCTATAAATGACTATCATCATTATTATAATCATTTTCATTTATTGACGGATTATTCATTCATATCTAACACAACACACTTTTCTTTGTACACACAAACAACACTACAAGAACAGCTCAAAAGCTGCACTTTATTCAAATCAATATGTCTTGAGTTGCGTTTTGCATATTTGGTTGGTCTATTTATTTGTATGAAAGTCACATTGAGAAAATTATATGCAAAAAAAAGAGCAAGAACTCACAAAGATGTCGAAGAAGGAGGCGTGGTAGTCGTAGTGCAGAACTTCTCTTTCCAGCTGCGACTGAATCCCGCCGTTTACCTGCAAACACAAAGTAGGAAATGTGAGCCTCTACTTGTAACTAATTCCTCCTTTCAAATATTTGAGGCTGAAAAAGCACTAAATCTCCAAAAATGGGTTTCTTTGCAGCTCCATGAAGTAACGGTACGTCCACGCGGCAGCGTTGCTTCAACGGAGACGCTTTGTCGAACTGCATTGTGGTTCCGTCGCTTTGCCTCCGTTGCTCACTTCGAAAGTTGAGAAACGTTCAACCTTTCAAGCGTCGACGGAAGCGCCAGCCAATCAAATCAAATGCCAGTACAAGCTCTAGCCAATCAAACCGCATGGTTGTGTGTCCGGGGCGGGGGATTCATGTGATTGGTTGTTGGTCGCACCAGACACGCCCACCGGCAATAATAATACATGAATATATCATTAAAACAATTGATATAAACTTGTTTTGTGTGTTTAAGGTCTGAAAACAGAGCGTATTTTAGGATATAAAAGACTATCTTTATATTATGTTAGTAGCTTTGCTGCCGTGCTGTGAGAACAGAGTGTGTATTTAAATGTATCTCGTATTACTTTGCTTCCTTTACTCTCCGTGTTTCATTTTGACCTGGGATGACTCACCTTTTTCGACCAGCTTTTAACGTGTGATTGATGACATGTCCTTTTGAAAAATGTGGTTTTATTGCTCGATTTTAAATTAGACTCATCTTATTTTTCTAATCTCTGTAAAGCGTCTTCGAGCACTTGATAAAGCGACATTATTCACTTGGATTTCTGCCACGAATAATTACAAAACGATAAAGGTTTGAATACAAACAAAACTTACATTGACATTTTAAATGGAACTACTTAAAGCGGCACATATAATGAATGTAGTGACCAAAGCTGCAACTAATGATTATCTTTGAATGATCCATAGTAGTGTTTGTCAAGAAAATGTCTTTAAAAAATGTAAATGTATTATTATTATTATGCCTTTACTTGCTCGATCATTTCATTCTCTGCATGTATTTAAATGTGTTCTGTTTTTTTGTAAAAGCACTTTCTAGCTCCGTTTGAAAGGAGCTATATAATTAAAGTGTATTATTATTAATATTGAATCCAAAGAAGGGGCGTACCTCTGCCGTAAAACACTAAAGGAAACTTTGAAATGCCAAAGACATGTACAAAATAAACGTGAGAATTTAAAAACAATGACGTAAGAGTTAATAATAAAGTCCTGGGTTGCGGTCGAATAATCCAAAAATCAGCTCCTAACGTCTAACCCTATCTCCTATTCCTTGACCTCTGAGTGAAACGTCACGGGGTTAAGGGATAGTGGATAGGAGAATTCAAAAGGACTTAGGAGAAGAGACTGCGGTACTTTAGAGAATCCGAATGCACTTTCAGTATCCGACGTGTTTATGATGCACCAGCGGACGTCATGAATGTGCGTCTGCTGCTGTGGGGAAACTATGGAAACTAGTTTTCTATACAGCGGACTACAACATGGATGTTCAATAAGAACGAGGGACTACTGTAAACTCATCTAGAGACTCTGCACCGTGCTCTGATGCTGTTGCTTTATGCTTTATGAACGTGGACAACAGAGAAACATATTCTTCATGACCAAAGTTGGAATTGAAATAAAAAAGGAAAGTGAAACGTATGCTCGTCACCCTCTCCCTCCGGTCCACATTAATACAAATGATCCCAATACGTATGATTGATGAAAACATCTTAAAATCAATACAAATGTATTTATTATAAACGTTAGTCCTTAACATCTATCACTGTGTATATCACCATTCAAACATCTTTTAAAAGTTGAACAAACCCCACACAGCTCAGTAAAGACTGTGAGATGTTGACTTTATTTGATCATTTCAGTAAAAACTAACGTTCATATTTCTCTTTTTGATTATAATAATGATGAACGTTCAGAACAAAGCACTTTGGCAACTTACCACATACGTTTTAAAATGCTTAATAAGCACCGTAACTTTCATGATATAATTTCTCCGTCATAATCGGTTGTTTCCGTGAACGGCCGACTGTTGTGTGACGGCAAATGCTGCGGCTGCAATGCATTGTGGGGCAGCATTTTCTCCTCTCCTCTCGGTTAGGGAGGTCCAGTGGTTCCTAAGCTAAAGGAGGTTATAAAGGAAGTTTGAAACCTCCTTTCCTATCATCTAGAGCAGTGCTTCTCAAAGTGTGGTCCGCGGACCACAGGTGGTCCGTGAGCGCCCCCTAGTGGTCCGCGAGTATATTGGTAACATTTCACATTTGAAATAAATAAATACATTTAAGTTTTCCGCATTCTAGCGGGAATATCTCCGCAATGGAGCGCGCTAAAGTTTCACTTTCGATTGCATGATATAGCCCAGCGCAACACCTTCATCACACTTGCTGCCACTTGTTTGTACCATTTCCAGGCGATTTGTAATCTGTTCTAGAAAAACGATACGATTTTGGATATTTGTGGAGTTAGGTGGTCCGCGAGTGTTTTTTTATTGGTTAAGTGGTCCTTGGTGTGAAAAAGTTTGAGAAACACTGATCTAGAGAATTCAAACGGCACTTATCATGGCTGCCACTGAGGGACTTCCGGGTCATTTCACTCCGTTAGGAAGGTTCCTAGCTAAACGGACTATTCGGACGCAACCCTAGTCAGACTGGATCTACTTTATTGAGCTGAAGTGTTATCGTCAGAGGAATGAGGTTTTTAACAGGAAGTGCAGCTCGTAACTGAAACCGTTTTATTACCGAAGCCTGACATGGGTTAATCTTTCACTTCAGTTTAAATCTCATTCAGGAACTATTTATTATTCTGAGGAACCAGACATAGCTCTCACTACAACCCACTGATTATGAAGTGATAACAAACAGAGAGATATCACATATAAAAGTTAAATATATTTAATATTTTAGTTGTTTGTTAGGTTGGTCCAACACTTTGAGCTCAGTAAAAACAAATTAAATATGCAAGACATACATGCAACTAACCATTATCCTTATTATTGATTACATTAACATATAATGTACTGTTACTATTCTATTTAATGTCAAAAGTACATAAAGTAAGACGAACATATCATAAATAGTACCGTACGGATTACCATAACATCGAGTAAGACCGCAATTACAAATAATCTTAATTATTGATTAAATTAACATTATTTTTTAATGATTTAATGTTCTGGTTATACCAAGATGTAAAAGGTTAGTGAGAAAAATACTTTAAAGTACATACACTTATAATAATATACTTAAATTAAGACTATAATATATACTGTCAGATGGATGACAACAACCTTTTATGATGTATAACAACTATAATATATGTTTTTTCAGTTTTATTGTTGTCATGACACATTTCCAGAGTAACAGGAAGAGCTTCCTGTCCAACAAGTTCAGTTAGAAATGAGAGCTCAACCTGAGAGACTGCTGCCAAACAAACACATACAACAGGTGTGTGTGTGTGTGTGTGTGTGTGTGTGATGATTATTTTCATTTTTTCTGGTGTTTTTTGTTATAGCTTAAACTCATTCAGTCACTTTGAAACTTTGAAACCTGAATTAGGGATCGTTTGAACTTATTATTCAGAGGATATGAGCGCTACCTAGCATTGTGTAGAAAAGGGTCCTAAAATGAGCGTGTCCACCCGGCTGTCGTGTTTCAATTAAAGATACAAGAACGAGCTTATTAATCCCCCCCTTAATTCTGCACAGTAATTTGTTAAAGTGTGAAAAGTAAGAGAGGCTGTGTGGGAATATGCACACGTCAGCATTAACCTTTCTACACAGGTATGGAGGAAGGTGTGTGTGTGTGTGTGTGTGTGTGTGTGTAAAATCTCTTCCTCTTTCAGGACACTACGGTTAATCTACTTGCACACAGTTCAACATCACCCAGGATATCGGATGAATGGTTATTAAGTATTGTGAGATTCCTGCAGATCATTTCTTTACAGTGGGTTGCTTAAAGGTGGGGTAGGTAAGTTTGAGAAACCGGCTCGAGATACACGTGTTGTTATATTCCATGGAATGCTCTGAACATCCCGATAGCAGTGAATATCTGAAGTGCTTTGACAACAAATCAATTAAATAACATCATCAATGGAAGCCGTGGCGCTGTAAAAAGCACGACCAATCCTCTGAGCCGGCCCGGCTAAAGTAACTGGATGGCCTACCTGCCTGTCAGCCTTCCATCTGGGCACAAACTTATCTCGTGCCCTCATTGGTCAGGTGCGCGTTCGTGTGTGTTGGAGGAGGGGCTCTGTGAGGAAGTGGCAGATTTGTTCCGGTTGTGTATTTTCTAGCGCACTCGAGCTGGTTTCTCTAAAATTACCTACCCCACTTTTAAGAGAAGGAATCTTTATATTTTATTGACTCTAATATTTGATACAGATTTGATTTATTTGTTATATTTTATTATACTAAATGTATTTATTATTATCAATATTATTATTTGTAGTAGTATATTTAATGTCATTTATTTGTATTATTATTATTATATGAAGTAGTAGTAGCAGTAGTAGTATTGGTAGTATTGTTTAGTAGTAGCAGTAGTAGTATTGGTAGTATTGTTTAGTAGTAGCAGTAGTAGTATTGGTAGTATTGTTTAGTAGTATTGGTAGTATTGTTTAGTAGTAGTAGTAGTAGTAGTAGTAATATTTGTAGTATTGTTCAGTAGTAGTAGTAGTAGTAGTAGTAGTAATATTTGTAGCATTGTTTCTGGAGTTCTTACATTGAGCTCTATGATCCAGAGCAGGGTGAGTAATAGTAGTAGTAGTAGTAGTAGTAGTATTGGTAGTATTGTTCAGTAGTAGTATTAGTAGTAGTGGTAGTATTGTTCAGTAGTAGTATTGTTTCTGGAGTTCTTACGTTGAGCTCTATGATCCAGAGTAGGGTGAGTAATAGTAGTAGTAGTAGTAGTAGTAGTAGTAATAGTAGTAGTAGTAGTAGTATCAGTAGTAGTATTGATAGGCGTTCTTACGTTGAGCTCTATGATCCAGAGTAGGGTGAGTAATAGTAGTAGTAGTAGTAGTAGTAGTAGTAGTAGTTGTAGTAGTAGTATCAGTAGTAGTATTGATAGGCGTTCTTACATTGAGCTCTATGATCCAGAGCAGGGTGATGAAGAGGAGGTCGAAGGTGACGAAGAGGCAGAAGGTCCTCCTCACGTCGGAGATGCACTTCTTCTCTCCGGCCTCGAAGGACTCCATGCGGGTGGAGGTGGGAGTGCTGTTGATGGAATAGCCCCCCCCCTGCGCTGCTGCACCTGCTGTCCATCACAGGTTAGAGGAGGAAGAGGAGGAGGAGGAGGAGGGGCATCCGAGGAGGGTCAGTGGAGGATGACTCTCTCTGAGGAGCTCACCTTCATCACTGCAGCTGCAGGGAGGAAGAAGAACGGAAATCATGGGATTTAAATTGTTGTTTTTTTTTATTTTATTGAGTTTTTTCAGTGTTTTTTATTAACATACTGTAGTAAGAATTCTTTCACAGTATTTTTGATATACATAATGCCACTTTTTTCATATTTATTTATTTAATATACTAAGAATATTTCATTGTATTTTTTGGAAATATATAATTGGACTTTTCTATATCATCTTTCAACATACTATAATAAGATTTTTATATTTTAAATGTACCTAATATGACCTTTTCAACATAAAACATGACATTTTTTCACAACATTTTTGACATATATTGTATTTATATACTATATTATTTAGGTTTGTTTGAATAATACTATGAACACATTACATTATAGTATGTCAAAACATATTAAAATAATTAGTTGTAGGATAACAATATGGAAAAAGTAATATTGTAAAAATGACATCAAAAAGTATTCATTTTAAAAAGTCATAGTATATGTCAAAGATATTGTGACAACATTAATATTATAGTAAGTAGATTTTTTTCTTTCAGTAATAGTATATATATGTCAAAAAGTATAATGAAAACATTCTTTTAAATAATAATGGGTAAAAAGTCACAATACACGTCAAAACTAGCCATTGAGAGCATAGACTTGCCAAGGCTCGTGTTCTCATAGACTTCTATACAACCTGAGTTCTGCTGGATAATAAAGAACGACACAGATGTTCTTGTGTTGTTTGTGACTGAAAACCAACCAAACAAACACATGTGATTGCGTTACTTCTTCTTTAGTTTCCTGGCAGGATTATTGTAAAACAGATTTGTCACATGACCCAGATAACAGTGTCCGACCTTTGACCAAAACACATGTTTCCAATGTCTTTGTCTCAGGAAGTGAATCTGATTTGAACTCTTTTGCACTAACAGTAAGTCACTCTGACGGAGGGATCTCCCGATTTTCATATTTCATACTTCAGTGCTTCTTCCCTAGACTTCTTAAATCAGTTTGAGGCATAAAGTGACCTTAAATCCTTCTGTGACGAAGCAGTTAATACGTGACTTTGAACAGGGTGAATCTCCAGATTGAATAGCAGGTTATTAAAAACCAAAACACAAGAATCAAACTGTACTTTCCACATTATCTGTAAAGAAATCTGAGGTTGATTGGACAGTGTCAATATGATCTAATGGTCAGTGTTTTTTTATTATAGCACAAAAGGATGGTCAAATCATTTACTGTCATTTCCAATGAAACCACAACAACCAACCAATTCCTCTTTACATGCCTGAGCGTATTTTAAACCACACTAGCCTTTAAGTTTAACCCGATATATATATATATAGCATTTTTATTGATTGGGATAAACCCCTTGAGATGCACCATCTCGTTTTCAAGGGGGTCCCGACAATAGCAACAACTTACAGACATACATAAACAAAAAGACAAAATGCAAAACATGACACACAAGACAAACCACATACAGTCTGTTAAGTACAATTCAAGCAATGCACACAATCATTACAATTTGAGACAGTCGAGCAAATCAGTTTCATCAATAACAGTTTCATTAATAACAAGTACAGACCAGTTGAAAGTGAGATGATAATGCATGTTTAAATAAACCCAATGATGCAAGAGATCTAAAAGCAGCAGGTCAAGTATTCCAGTCAGTTGGGGCTTTGAACATGAACGCTCTTCTGCCAATACATTTGTTTGCAGAGAGGACAGAGAAATAAATCTGAACAGAATGTCTAACTTGATGAATTGGCGAGTAGGGTACAACATACTGCTTTAAATAAGGGGGATAGTTAAGATAAATGCATTTAAATATCAGCTGAAGCCAATGCGTGTCTTCTTACATTTAAAGAAGGCCATTTCAGTTGGTTATACATTGTGCAGTGATGTGTACGAAAAGGACAACCAAGAAGAAATCTGCATAGTCTGTTGTAGGCTATGTTGAGTGGAGCAAGATCTGATTCATGTGCATTTTGGTAGACAACATCACAATAGTCCATAATCGGAAGAATAAGTTGAGAAGCAATTCTCTTTCGGACACTGAGCGTAAAACAATTGCGAGAGCGGTGTAAAACACCGATTCCGTAATTGACTTTTTGTACTACATGCTTTATATGTAGTTTAAATGAAAGTTCAGAGTCTAGCCATACACCAAGATATTTAAAGCTATCAACTTGATGCAGAGAAGTGCCATCCTTACATGCTATTACTACATTAGGTTTGGATTTGAGCTTCTGCCTGGTACCAAAGACCATGGTATAAGATTTAGTTTTGTTAAGCAGTAGTTTATTGTGTGATAGCCAGTCCTGTAAGATATTATAATCCGATTGGAGAGAGATCTGAATTTGTGAAAAATCTGATTTGGATGTATATATGACAGTGTCATCAGCATAAAGGTGAGTACAAACAATTAATGAGACAAGAAGATAAATCATTTATGTAAATAGAGAACAAAATAAATCTTAAATGTCACCGAGAAGAATAAGGATTTTTGACCAAGTGTTGCAGTTCATTTACAGAGAGTGCAGTGCAGAGTTCCTCATTTCAGGGTTGGTGTGAGGAAGTTAAACACCAATAAAGAAAACATACAGTATGTCGTCACTAGACACTATCCTTTGTTCATCTCCATTGTGCTTTTGGGGGGTTTCCATTTCCTGTAGTTAGTTAAGACCAAAGTATGATATTGGCTCCTAAAATGAAGTAGAGTAGGACTACTTACTAATTCTTGCTAATTTCAAAAGAAGGAAGTAGTACGTTGGCACTACTGGTCACAGGATTTCTAAGGATGAGTGGATTTGACTGAAATACTTGTGTTTCTGCAGCGTTACCGTGCATCAGCAGAAGAAACTCTTCCAGTCTTAAGACCAAAGCATATCTGTGCATAACACTGTGACACCAGAGCAGCACGACGACCAGCTGATTCTATGGGAAATATATACAAAAATACATCCAATCAATTAGATCAGGTCTCCTACATCTGTATTCATTTATTTGATTTTTGGCGACTTAAGGAACTCCCCAAAGTAATAGACTCACAACTCACACTCAGAGCAATATAATCATTCATCTGGAGAGTTATTTCTGTCCAGCTGATGAATGTAGGTCAGGTATTTACTCTCCTCTTAGCTCTGGTATGGTCTCCACTAGCTCCTGAGAATAAATACCCACTCCTGTTGGCAGTTTGCTGCAGAGCAGGACGTGTGCAGTTAATTTATCAGAACTGTATCGCTGCTAGAAATGAGATTGTGTTGCAACTGAACACCGACAGGAAATGTGCAAATAAACACAACACAATCAGCTACAAGAAGGTTTGTGAATTCAAAGCGGGTTAATCACTCTTAACTGAAACTGAGGACTTTAACGATTCTAAACCTTATTTGGAAATAAAGTATTGATTCATAACATACCGTACGTCACAGTGAAACTAGGACGAACCTGGATTAGAACTACAAAGATCGGCATGCCACATTTAATAAGAGAGCCACAAAATGCACTAAACACCTGTTTGGAAATGTGACTGTAGTCAGAGAGGAAGTACCGGAAACCCCATTTGTAAATGACTGGTATATAATACACTTTAATATTTGTAATGGGAAGAATCCCTTTCTCCATGAGACATTAGGAAAACCAATTTAAGGCAACTTGGAAAAAGTGGAAGCAATATTTTGTACTGAGACATCCATTTGTTTGATTTAGCTAAACATCCTGCCGTGTTTCCCTTTCCTTAAAACAGAAAACAGCTCCTGTGTGATATTCAATAACGATGATTTATCACCCTATAATGGAATAGTATATAGAGATATCGTTACACTAAATGAGGCCATCTAAACTTAATAACAAGCACATAGTAAGTGCAATGTATTGTTCATATATGAGAGCAAATGTAATATCTCTGGCTCCTTGGTGGATAATCTGAAGACGTGAATTTGGGATATTTGTTCCACTTTTTTGTTTATGGACTCAAAAGGGAATAGATGAATTGAGAAAAGAGTTGGCAGATCACTTGAAAAGACGTTATAGTCAGGGGTGCCCATAACTTTTTTGCCCTGGTTCTCAAAGGAGCACCTGGAGATGTTGCTTGGTGCTCATCCTTAAAATGAAATAAACCGTAACTTTTGAGGGGGTCTTTATTTGCCAGACACACGGCACTGAACACACAGAGGTGAACACAGAACACACGTGCAGTGGTGAACACAGAACACACGTGCAGAGGCGAACACAGAACACACGTGCAGAGGCGAACACAGAACACACATGCAGAGGTGAACACAAGACAACATTAGCACGACCAGTAATCCTACAAGCTGTCATCACTCCCCTCCTGACTGTTCTCCTCACTGTCTTCCTCTCTGTCAGACATGGTAGCTGATGATGTAGGCCTACTACTTCCTCTCTGGTTGAGTCTGCGATTAGCTGCTTGCATCCACAAGTCAGCAGCTGGGTTTGGGTCGAAAGTCCAGTTTTAAAAGGATATTTTTGGTTACTGTCCTATAGTATACATTGGAATGATTTCAAACCTGTTTATCACAATAATTATGGAGTTTCAGGCTCTGCACTTTCCCTCCTCACCTCATACCTGAAAGACCGTACCTACAGGGTGACTTGGAGAGGGTCTGAGTCCGACCCTTGTCAATTAACTACGGGGGTCCCTCAGGGCTCTGTTCTTGGTCCCCTCCTCTTCTCCGTGTACACAAACTCGCTCGGATCAGTCATTAGCCCGCATGGTTTTTCTTACCACTGCTACGCTGACGACACCCAATTAATTCTGTCCTTTCCCCGCTCAGAGACCCAGGTCGTTGCACGCATCTCTGCTTGTCTAGCTGACATCTCTCAGTGGATGTCTGCTCACCACCTCAAGCTCAACCTTGACAAGACTGAGCTGCTCTTCCTCCCGGGAAAAGATTGTCCCACTCTTGACCTAACAATCAACATCGGCACCTCAGTTGTTTCCCCGACTCAGACTGCAAGGAATCTGGGTGTGACCCTAGATAACAACCTGTCCTTCACTGCAAACATCACTGCTACAACCCGTTGCTGCAGATACACGCTTTACAACATCAGGAAGATACGTCCCCAGCTGACACAGAAAGCGACTCAGGTTCTGGTCCAGGCTCTCGTCATCTCACGCCTAGACTACTGCAACTCCCTCCTGGCTGGTCTACCTGCATGTGCCATCCGACCTCTGCAGCTCATCCAGAATGCAGCGGCTCGTCTGGTTTTCAACCTTCCTAAATTCTCCCACACCACTCCGCTCCTCCGCTCCCTTCACTGGCTTCCGGTAACTGCTAGAATCCACTTCAAGACACTGGTACTTGCTTACCATGCTGCGAATGGATCTGGCCCTTCCTACATCCAGGACATGGTTAAACTGTACACCCCAGCGCGTGCACTACGCTCTGCATCAGCCAAACGACTCGTTGCGCCCTCGCTGCGAGGGGGACCCAAGTTCCCATCGGCGAAAAACACGTGGGTTTGCTGTCCTGGCTCCAAGATGGTGGAATGAGCTCCCCATTGACATCAGGACGGCAGATAGCTTGCACATCTTCCGGCGCAAACTGAAAACTCATCTCTTTCGACTCCACTTCGAGCGTTAGAACTATTAACGAAGCACTTTTATACTAATAAAGGACTGGCTTACCTAAAGCCAGTTGAGTAGCACTTGAAATGTTTGGCTCTATGAAACCTGATGTACTTATATGATTCTGTTTTCTTCAAGGTTGTGTCTTCCTGGTCGAATGTACTTATTGTAAGTCGCTTTGGACAAAAGCGTCAGCTAAATGTAATGTAATAATGTAATTATAAAGGAGTGCCTTGGAAATATGTGTTTACATAAATTGTGACCAAACCGTTTGAACTTAGACTAAAGTGAACTATCTAAACACTCTAGTTGCTGGTGGAGATAAGATGGAGGACGAGGTTAATCTTGCATGCTGCAGAGGAAACTCATGAGTGGCCTGGATGTCACTGAGTCTAGACACATCTACAGCAATATGTGACAATAAACGTAATAAAGTGATGATAATATTAAGCGCAGGTGAAGTAAAAAATAAACTCAAAACTGTGCTCACGTTTTATTCTAGTGTTTTGCATTTTCTAAATGAAAACATATTTATAATAAATCTCTCAAAGCCCAATAAATGTAACCAAAAACTCAATTATGCGGCACATAGACAGCTTATTTAAATGAATACTCGTTTTTTTGTTCAGAGGGGGACGGAGTACTCAGATCTCATACTTAATTATTACTTACTTTTCAAATCTATTTAAAATACAAAAGCATAGTATACAATTATATATCACGATCACTTTGCAGCTTGTAGAGGTAAATAATAAATAATATATCATAATTTATTAGCTGATTTTTAGCATTAGCTGTGGCAGAACCTGGAGATACTCAAAGTCCAAATTGTACTTAAATACAGTTATTTAGTTAATGCATTTTCAACTACTGGTTCACATAAGGATGGTAAAAAATGGCAAACTTTAAACACCAAAAGCACAATGCAAAATGTTCAATTTCAGCATCATATATATAAAACAGTACTATAATGAAGTGATGCATTAGAGAGCTGACTTTTGAATTGCTTTATAGTGCTGTCTAATTCAAACCACAACAATATAGCATCATTTATAAGGTGATTCATGTTTTGTATTAATAATCTACAGCTGTCAAATAAATGTATTGGGGTCAAGTACAATATCGCATCTGAAATGTAACTCAAGTAGAACCAGAAATAGCACAACATCGAAATGCCTTAAGCACATATACTTCAAATGTGTACTTAAATACAACAATTGAGTAAATGCACATTCCTCCACTGGTTCACCTGATGAGGTCCATGTCACTTTAGGTAAGCTGGCTTCAAATTAAAGCTTCAAGGCATCACTTTAAATACTTGATATTCCTGATTGTGTGTACAAGTGCAGGAAAAACCCGGTTTCCTGGTGCAGGGAGTAGGCCAACAACAACAACAACAACAACAACAGCACTGTGGATTCATAAGCATTGCCTCATAGCATTTAAGCAGCATACAAGCTTAATAACAAACAGAAATGTGTTAAATAAAATCTAAATAACATGTAGTGTACAGAGCTGCCATACTAAAGGTGTTTACAAGCGTTCATGACACAACCAAGCTAGCGAGTTAGCTCAAATGCAGGCATTTCAACTGGTTTTTAAAAGCCTATTTCATAGTTCTTACCTTTAAAACTTGCTCCAAATGTTTATTTTAGTTTCCTAAAGCAGCCGTTGGAAGGTTTTAGTCGGCAGGTTTCAGTCTCAACGCAACAGACGAGTCATATGTTTCCCTTTCGACAGGATGGAAGTAACCGGAAGTGATACAAATAAACTGGCGCAATGAACTATGGGATATGGAGTCCGGAGCTAACGCGTTTTCATTTGAACAAGGAAGTCATAGCGATGGATACATTCCGATACATTCACTGAAGGACTGTAGCCTACTTTTTTAGGTTTAAGCAAATGAAATATTTACAGGGAAGCAAAATAACCTGTTTTTATACCGTTGCCAACATTTTCATAAACACATTGACTATAACTTCTATAACGTTCCTATGTTTTAATGTTGTCCTCAAATTAAAAAGCTGTAACACAATTAGCCCTATTTGTAAGGTCTTCAGTACCCACAAATAGTTGTTTGTTTGTTAGCTAGAAAGCATTTAGTGTTTGTATCACAGGTGTAATATTTGAATCCACATGCCATACACATGTATTGATATTAAAATGTGTCTCATTTGTTTCAGGACTGAATTAAAAAAAATCACACACAACTCAAATCATGATCATCAGTGAGAGACATGAAGCTCATCCCTGGTTAGCAGGGTGACGGCGCCCTCTTCTGTTTCAGTTTTCACATTTCAGTTGTTAACCTGCTTTGATTAATTAGAATGAAATTACACATGTAATAACAACAACAACAACAACAACAACAACAACAACAACAACAACAACAACAGCAACAGCAACAACTGAAAGTCCTGCATTCAAACCATTGGCATCAAAATATATTCAAAGTACAAAAGTAGTCTAACTCCTTAAAATCACTTATTTGGAAAGGAGATTGCATTGAGAAAGTTTCCCTCTAACAGTTCACCTTTTACCCTTTAATTAACTTTAATACAGTCCATATTTACCATGCCAATCGTGTTCTATAGAGACATTTAAAAACTACTTTCCCACTGTTCCTTTATCTCATTCTGCCTTTATCAGACAAACCAAATGACAGAGGGAAAGCGAATAGCACATGGGAAATAGAGGAGTCTTTAATCTAATGTCAGCGTTAGATAACAGGTGTGTTATCTCTATTAAATCTAAATGCAGTTCAACGTTACAAGAATCATCCTATTAAAATGTAAAGGCCATTAAAGTCGGGGGTTTTCTACATAAAGAATGGTGAAAAGAGTGTTAGTATTACCCAATATAAAAGTAATTCATATAAGTGTTGACAGGAAACATTGCTGCTGTATTTCCATTCTTATATAATTTGTATTTTATTTTATTATTACATTAACATGATCTTCATATTTTCAAATGAGTGTCACATTTGTATTTAACTCATATATGCATTTGGATTGAGAGTGGAAGTAAATGGGGCCGGTGCTTGCTGTACAACATGAGGTTATTTAAAAATGATTTTATTGTTAATTATATGTACATTTTACCCGTCAAAAATGTATTTAATTTATATTTAAGTAACTGTAATTGTAGGTTGTTGGTTAATCTGCCCACACAACACCTATTGCATATATATCCTTATTTGTTTCATGTCTAAGGGTTTAATGGGGCAGTTTATCCTTTGAATCATGGGTCAAAGAAAAAGGATGTCAATAGTAATCATATTGTAAAGCCCAGGCTAATTTGCGATATTTGGCAATATAGATTAAACTGACTTGATTAGGTTTTACACGATCATCCACAACTTAGCAAAAAAACAATCTGCATGAAGGTATATTTTCCCCTTTGCCGCCACATGCATGCATGGGAATAATAAAATGCTTTTGATATGGAACCCACTCTGCACACCATGCACTGATTTGATTACAGCTAGAACAAATACATTGCAGGTTTTCTGTGGAGGAAGAGAGCAGGAGACCGGATGGAAATGAGCTTATAGCTAAATCTGGCATTAAATCATCCCCTTTGAGACCAATGTATTTCTATGCATGGTCCTTGTTTGATAACACATACTAAACAAATAGGAGAGCAGCAGAGGCTCCTGAGCTGATTTCATATTCAAACATTTGTCTCCAGCTTACCTTTGTTTACTCGTATAGAAGCCTGCGTCACACTGCTGCCACACACAGTAGCACTGAGGAGCTGCGCATGTACATCTCTGAGTATGGAAGACAGAAACATCTGCCAGGTTTGATTAAAGTCAGGTGAGCAGTTACAGCTGCAGTGGGCGGCTATTATTCTGTCAAGCAGTGTTACACTTTGGGAATAGTGGACGTTTTTTATGTACCATTACATTACATGTCATTTATTAGACGCTTTTATCCAAAGGGTCTTACATACATTAAGTAATGTGGACAATCCCCACAGGAGCAATTTGGGGTGAAGTGTCTCAGGGACACAACGACATGCTGACTGCAGAGGGACTCACTTGGTACCCCCTGATTTGAAGTCCAGCACTGTATCCACTGAACCACAGCCTCCCAAGTTCCTTTAGTCTGCAAAGGTATCTTAGTTCTGACGCAGAGGAGGAAGAAGTGCTCAGATCTTGTACTTACAGTAAGTACAATCTAACTTTTAGAGAGGCATATGCAATATACCCTCGTGAAATTGACACTTTATTTATTTTTTCAATGTATTTACAATCTGCAAACAGAACCAGCTAGGTCTTTAATGTATATGGTCACTCTTTTAAAAATATACTGCTACTTTATTTTTACCATCCTGTACTTTTGACTTATTGTGATTTTCCTCATGAAATTACACATACTTTGTTATTTGATATTATGTAAGTCTATTCTCTTCACTTTATCTGCATTATACTTCTGCTGTTGTAATGTTTCCTGTAAAAGTACAAGAGTGTAGGAATATTCTGCATTCAAAATGTTACTCAAGTAAAAGAACAAAGGTTTGACACACCCAGACAGATTTCAGCTGGCCTTCCATGTAAATGAGGGTTAGGGTTACAGGGTGAAACACGAGGCCAACAGCATTGCGTGTTAAATCCCTTATAATCTGCTGCTTCATACTCACAATGCTGTAGTTCATAAATGCTGCTGTGCTTACAGTTTGCCACCAGATATACAACCAACATGCCATTCTGCGTCAGTGGTTCTGCTAACTCCAATGTCATACTTAAAATGACAAAATTATGTCCATAATAAAACGACAACAATCTATTTAATGCAACCTTTTGCAATTTATGCTAGACCAAATATTACTCCCTGCTTGTCATGCCTTATTTTATGCCTCAGAATAACATTGAATGTAGCTGACATAACAGTTTGACAATGTTAACGGTAGGTCAATGAAAGTTAGTTGAAACATGAGCAGCAACTGAGTATACGTTTCAGAATAAGTATGAGAACCAACTTGTTTTACTATTAATGTGATATGGTTGAATGTAGTTTGAAGCTAGAGCAATACGAACGTGCTGAATAATTCTCATTTCATTTATGTTAGTGCTTGAGTACTGTAGTATGGAAAGCCAACAGTGCCACAATATGCCAATATTTCAACACACTTTTTTCTGTCCGTTTTTCATTACATTAATAGTTTAAAACACTGTTTTTATGTATTTATCCTTGTTTGTATTGTTGTTTTAAATGCGGGGCAAGTGGTTACAAAAAAAGGGTACATTTTTTTCTTCAGCTATGTTCAACGTCATGTTAAATCACATATTAAATGCTTCATACTTGCAATGCTGAAGTTCACTAATGCTCTACAGTTTGGTTTGGCATGCTTGGTTTCAATTAATACCCAGCAGGGCCCAGGAGTTCAAAACTTTTAATCTCAATCAGATCCGATCAGATTTTGAAATCCCATTTTTTGTGATCCAGGATCAGACAAGTCGGACAAATGTTGTCCCTGGAGTTCAAAGCAATTCAGGATAGGATCACCCTGATCCAGATTACGACTTTTCAAGATGACTAGATCCTGAATATCAGTGCTTTAATCCTACCGAGCGCCATCTAGTGGATATGAAAAATACTACAAGGAAGACAAGAGACCACATTGCAGAGACATCTATAATGTCTAATTATATTTTTTTATTTGAAAGGTGATGACAGATGATGGACTTTTTTTTGTTGAAGATATTTTTACTTTAATCTAAATTACATTTGTGATTGACAATCTTTGCTGTGATACTTTTATGAGCATAAACATTTATGTCATCAACATTTGGTTGAAAAGAAAATAGGCCGCCACAAACGTGACCAAAAATGGAAAAAATACAATGTATTTCCCATGAAGGCTAAAAATTGTGTATTATTTCAGTTAACAAACTTTGCCATCTAATTTAAATTGAAACATATTTTAAAATAAATTGTACAGTACATTTTGCTCTGGTAATCCACTGGAAATCCACCCCTCTGGTGGGATCAGGATAATCCAGTTTTTTGGGATCAAACTGATCCCAATCCTGTGTTGTCGGTTTGAACTACCCGTTTTGAAGATTTGATCCAGATTAAAGCTTGGATTGGATTTCCTGATCTGACAGGATATCAAAGTGATCCTAATCCTGTTTTTTGGTTTTGAACTCCCCAAAATCCAAATCTGATCCGACCAGATAGGGATTAAAAGTTTTGAACTCCTGGGCCCTGGAGAACAGGAAGTTTTACATTTAATTATCGTGTGATATTTTTCTCCCCTCATATTCCAGAAGAATTACAGTATGTGCTGTTTAAACAAGAGATGATTTGACCAGCCTTTCAGCCCTTTTGTCTGTGATTTAGTTGCAACAGTAGGACATCGACCCGTGAGTAAACCAATTTGACATATGTGACAAATATTCCCAGAGGAAGTCCAGTATTTAGCTTCATCTCATCGTAACATGTCCCCTGGCGTAGTTTAGCAGCAGATCACAGACTATAGGATCTGCCCTGTACCCCGTCAATTAGTGGATTATTGTTCCAGAGAATAGCTAAGAAAGGTCAGTGGCCTGTAAACTTTGGAAGCGACTCACATATAATCAGCTTGTCAACATGCCTTTGAAACATGTAAACAATTAACAGTGGTGCTTCACACACTGAGGGCACATAATGTCCTCATGTCCCTATAGCTAGAGGAGCGTATTTGTCATAGAAGGCAGACGATGAAGGAATCCTTGTTACAACAAACAATGCAAGTTTATTTATGTAGCACATTTCAACA